TATATATATATATATATGTGTGTGTGTGTGTGTGTGTGTATGTGTGTGTATGTGTGTGTGTATGTGTGTGTGTGTGTGTGTGCGTGTATATCCATCCATCCATCCATTTTCCGATCCGCTTTATCCTCACAAGGATCGCGGGGGGAGCTCGAGCCTATCCCGGCTGTCTTTGGGCAGTAGGCGGGGGACACCCTGAACTGGTTGCCAGCCAATCGCAGGGCACACATAGACAAACAACAACCATTCACACTCACAGACACACCGAGAGACAATTTAGCATGTTTTCTGGGTTCAGTCATGTGGCTTTCACAAGATGAGCCCTTAGGTACTGTGATGTCATTTTCAGTCAACAGCGAGTGGCAAAATGGCTTCTCCCAGAGAAAGACCAAAACGTGTGGATTTTTCTGCTTAAATTCTATTCCACAAACATAGTATGAATCAGAATACCATGTTTACATGAGTAGGGGCACATAGAAGATATTATTGTGAAGAAAATGTTGGACATGACTTCCACTCTACGTAGCCATTCAGTTTATCGGGTGGTAAATGAAAGTCAAGCTAATTTTGGCAACAGTTAACAAATACAGTATGGTCATTGTAGTCACATAATGGCATGAACAGTTCAAGTGAATGCAGGGAGGCTTTGTATTTCGGTGTCATTGCAAACCTGTGTGAGTGATTGTACCCAAAGCAGATTCAGGATTAAAATGCTTGTGTCATGGTAGAGTATGCCAATGCTCTAACAGCATGATGAGATTTAATAATCTGTGGCCGAAGCACAAGCGATCGATTCAGCCTAACCCAGGTTCCCAAGAGCCAGGGTTGGATATTGGTAAATGACACTGATTCACAACCACTTTGGAGCTCTATGCCAATTGCAATCTTCATGATAATTCGACCAAATGGTATGGTAGTCAATATCCATTTTAAATAAACAACAACAGTTCGGACCTTATGAAAGCACAGTTATAGATGAATATTTAACACAATCTATGGTTCGAGTACAAAAATCAATCAAATTTAAAAAATTACATTAAAAAAGGTCCCACATCGGACATGCAATGCTTCTAGTTGGTGGTTTTCTTCACAACACATCGCATTTTCATCCAGAGGGGTTTATAAAGGCCACATTTCTCTGCCTGCCTCAGCTTTCAAGCCCCTACCCCCAATTCTTCAGTGGTTGCTATGGAAACTACCATCCCTACAGTAGCAAAGAAAGATGGGTGTAAGGGAATGTGGAAAAGGAAAAGAAAGAAAACCAAAAACACCAATGGTTTAAATTAGCGGTAAACCTTTTTTTGAATCACAAGGCTGCAGTTTATAGCAACATGATGTTCAAAATGGCTCAGGTTGCAAACATCTAACAGGCTATTGAATAGACAGACCTGAAAACCCGGACTCACCCCCACTCACCCATATTTAATTTGCTTATATTTATGTTTTATAATGTATATTTATTTATATACTTCTTGTACTTCTCCCTTTCATCATTTTGCTGCTGTAAATGGGGAATTTCTCCATTGTGAGACAAATAAAGGTTTTCTTATCTTATCGACATTCTCATTAGCTCAGGCACCTTCTGTCACTGAGAAAAGGGGTCTGTCTTCAGTGTGTGAAGGTGAATAGTCCATTCTCTCCCATGCACTTAAATATTAAAATTAAGGCTGTCGCTCTCATATTTTTTCCCAAGTCACTTGATTTTGAGTATCTGCTGATACCTAGTCCCAATCAATACCTCTGCAATGAAATGCAATGAAGAAGAAAGAGAAAGCTGCATCCAAATTCTCTTAATCACCCGATTCATTTTGTGAATGAGGGTATCCCAGGACGATGCCGTTTTATATGTGAATAAATCATTGGCGGTTCAAATCAAGGACGAAAACATTTGATTCAAAATTAGAAAAAGTTAAAAATGTGATTTTTTTAACTGATACCAAACAGCTGAATATGACACGATTGGCCCCCATTTCTGACCCTATCAATCAGATCGGGAAACAAGGTAGTCAAATTATATTTGTACTGCAGCACATAATTTGGGTATCGTGGAGAGGTGAAGAAGACAATTAATTGCTCCATCTTGGAAAGCCTATTAAAAATTCAAATACCTAACATTACAGTGGGGAATTGACCTGGAGAAATGTCTACCATGAAAGAAAATGCTTTTATGTAACAGTTACTGTGCAGGGAAACCCAAGTAAAAATGTCACAAAAGAACCATTTTAACGACAGGATTAAAAACAACAAAAAATCTTGTCTGACAGTAAGTAAAAAATGCATGTAGTATGATGGTAAACCAGAGGGTACATTTAATTTTGGCATTTTTTTTTTCTCACCACGATCTTTGCCAAGATACCGTCATCATTAGATTCCATCGTAACGACAGCTTTGTCAGTCTCAATTTCACAAAGGGCATCGCCTGCTGCCACTGCCTCACCTGCAATGGTAAAACACATGCATAAATATATTGTCTAAATTGAACTTTTTATTGTAAACATCACAAGAGCTCAATTAAAAAAATGGATGAATAACAGGGAGAAAGAACGGCAGTTCTGAAGAGTGTGAAAAATGAATTTAAACAATTTTTTCAATTATAATTATTTAAATCTACAAGCAAAAGAAAACGTATCTATGTGACAAATAACTGTGTGACAATTTATTGGTTCATGACGGCATGTTACCTGAAAATCGAAATTTCATATATAAGAAAGAGAGTAAGAAAAAATTTATATTTATCTTTTTCCTACAAATTGCCATCAGAGCTGTATTTGACATCAATGAACAGTATGACAACATATTTAGATTACAGCTGTCCAGATCCCAATTTTTGACACCCAAGTCCCAGGCGCTTGCGATCAGGTCCAATCCGATACATGTACCTCTGCAATGGATTAAGAAGTTAAAAAAAGGGAGTGTATCCAAATTGTCTCAATTGTTTTATTTTTCCTTTTTTTTTTTTGATAGTGTCCCAACATAATACCTTTTTGAATGGCTACAAATCTAGTGCAGCAGTGGTTTAAGTGCAAGTAAAAATAAATAAATCAAAAAATAAAATCTTTTTATATCATATTAGTGGTCTGGCAACAAATACTAACACCACATCTACTGGTACTTTAATTGAAATGTACTATCGATAACAGGGGTCATCAAAATGATGCCCATGAGTACCAGACAGCAACTAAAGACCACATGAGTAGCACGAGGGCCTGTTCTAAAAATAGCTCACCGATTATGGTACATTGTGATTTCCGAGCAATGTTGTAGAAGTGATGCCGTATGTCAATCAACATGTGAGCATTGGCTACAATTCAAAGAAATAGTGTTGCATATTGATTTTTATCTATTTCCTAATTATTGTGAGAAATCATCAATTTGATCCTGTCATCACATTAAAAACTATCAGTTATCAATAAAATCATGCAATAACATTCATAAATGTCATTTGAGTACATTTGGTATTTCAAAAGTGTGTATCAAAATGAAAATATCCTGTAAAGGCCTACATGTTAGCCTATTTGACTGCCGCTTCTTCTCTTTCTCTTGCCACCTGCCCCCAGCGTGGAAAAGGAGCTGGGTGACGATGACCAAATTGGATGTTGGCAGAAGGACCACCGACTGATCTAGACAAGATCTGAGGTTGACCGCTACCTCTGAGGAAATGGAGATTTTCGCACTGATCAACTGGGCCAGGTTTTGAGGAGGCCCCACTTCTACGAAGGAGTCTTCCTGCAGCGCTTCATCTTATTAAATGGACTCACACTATTCTCGCATTGTATACCACCATATTATGTTAAATATTGACCACCTGGCATCCATCCGCAAGTATGTGGCGCTGAACCGTTTTATGAAGTCATTATATTGAAGTTATTACAATCATTGATATATCACACTTCTTTAAATTCCCTGACGTTTTCAGGAGGACCATTACTCTACTTTTGAAAATACACTAAGGGCCAGTAATGTTGCGAGTGGAAATTTCACATGCATATACATACATCGCAACTCAATTCACAGAAGCAAATGGCAAAAGGGCAAAGAAGCCGATGAAAAATAGGTTCCTCACAATAAATGAGGGTCCTGCTGTCGTGCCTGGATGAGCAAAGTCATTAAGCAGTAATGAATAGTGACTGCTGGGTTTCCATAAGCCAATTAATCACCAAAGGCCTATGAATGCAGCAGCGCATGAGGCCATGCCTTGCAGAGTGATGTGTTGTCACAGAGAATGACGATGAGCACATACAGCAACTGTTAATCGGCAATTGCAACCATGGGCATACAGTGTATGCCCATAGTTGCAAGGAAAATACGACCATAGTTTTTGGATTTGGCAGTCGTGTAGGCATTGACAACTGACTGGAAAGGAATATTAAAATTTGGGGTGGTGGTAATACTTGTAAATTCCTTTTACCTTCTTTCTTCAGCCATTTGACAATGTTTCCCTCCTCCATGGTTGGTGAGAGAGCAGGCATTTGCACGTTTAACGGGGCGACACCTACCGGGCACAAAGATCATAACATCATTACTGAACAGCATTTGAACAGGCACTTGAAGCTAATGCAGAAATACTTCTTTGAAACTTCAGACCGCAATGTAAAAAAAATAAATAAATGATGACTACAATTCATCTTAAACACTGGAACCCTACATACACGTGGGTCGGCACATGCAGATTCAAAGATTCTCAGAACAAATAAAAAATATAGGTTGTTTTTTTTGCTTTGCTTTTGGGTCGGGGGTTGGTGGTTACACAGCATTTTTTTTGTTTTTTTGTGGAAAATGCTTATTGGTGATTCATCACAGTTTTGTTTTTGTTTTTTTAAGGGGGGGGGGGAACATAGAATAATCCCAATGCTTTTATAATGGGTGTCAACTGCCCATTCCGTTTCCTCTGTGAATAGCAGGGTTCCATTGTGTACATTAAATATATATATAAAAGAAAATACACCCTCATGAGTAGTTGGTATTCGCAGACTTTGAGACGTTTTGGTCATTGTTGTATTACAGATGTCGTAATTTACAAAAGAAAGCAGTCGGGTCCACTAATTTTTACGTTTAGCAGACACAACACCAAAGAACACACGCAAATCGAGATGAAATTCAAGGCCTTACGGTTACAGGCAGGAGTTACTTAAGAGTACCACACTGTAGGTGAAGTGGCTCACAGCACTGGACCAGGCATCTTATCTTTCCTTTTTATTCACTTTATTTACAACTTAGCACACAGTGCGACATTTTGGCCAAATATTGGAATTGGCATCATCCTCTAAATCCTTATCAGATGGGCCCTTCAACTTCAGGCACTTGGGCCTGACTTGCCATCAAAGGAGGCGGAGCTTTCTTCCCCCAAGCCCATGGGCCATGGAACTGTGTTAGTAGAGATCTTATGCGGGTCAGCTAGGTAACTACTTTCAAATGTCTCCCTAAAACTCATGTCTGTCATTTAGCCTTCTTCTAAAATTGTTGGTAATTTTACTTTTTATTTGTAATTTTATGCAATATTATGTCAAAGATGATGGCTGAATCACATATTACTGTGTTTGGAATGTGCAGTATAAATAAGAATAAATAATACAAAATAATAATGACATTATTATAATTATTTCTATTTTTTTAAGGAATAAAGTTTACTTTGTTTGGGACAACCATTTTCTATTGTGGCCATCACAGCATCACATTAAATGTGTTATTCTGCTGGCATCTGCTGGACATACTGAGATACTGCACAATTATAAATTTAATTTATACGAACCGCAATCGCGCTGACAGGAATTTGGGGCCCAGTCCGGCTGGGGGGTTGCTGGTGGATGGTAATTACAAATATACTTTGTCATTTTTTGCTTGCACCATGACTTATTCACAGGTCACTATCGTACTCATTTCAAAATACAGCCACTCTAACATTTCCTGCAACAAATCAGATATGTACAATACTTTTGGTATTGGGGCATTAAAAAAACAAACAAACAACTCATATCAGACGTAAAATTCGATGTCTGATGTCTGAGGCAACAGTCGGAAAGTCCGCCGACACGCACACAACTTCCAATCACAAGCCCAGCACTGGCTGTCTTAAGATTCCCCCCTGCATTGTTTTTCCATCCATCCATCCATTTTCCGATCCGCTATATCCTCACAAGGGTCGCAGGGGGTGCTGGAGCCTATCCCAGCTGTCGTCGGGCAGTAGGCAGGGGACACCCTGAACCGGTTGCCAGCCAATCGCAGGACACACACAGACGAACAACCACCCACGCCCACACTCACACAGAGGGACGATTTAGAGTGTTCGATTACCCTGTCATGCATGTTTTTGGAATGTGGGAGGAAACAGGAGTACCTGGAGAAAACCCACGCAAGGCACAGGGAGAACATGCAAACTCCACTCAGGGTGGCCGGAACCGGAATCAAACCCTGCATCTTTGCACTGAGGTCGACGTGCTAACCACTGGATCACCAGGCCGCCTGCACTGTTTTTTTTTGTTTGTTTGCTTGTTTGTTTTGTTTTTGTGTGTGGTTTTTTTTGGTCACAATAAACAAAAATAAGTTCATCAATTATAATTCCATTGGAGGCGAAACGTGTATGCATTGTTGAAATTTACTTTTTAATACTTTAGCCTGCGAGGACACGTTAAAGTGTCGGTTATGGTCACTAAAGTGAGACTAAAAATCAAGCCTTTTCTCCGAGTGATTACTGTACTGAAATTATGTTATAAAATTGTAACATAACCTTATTGCACATAAAACCGCTCGAGCTAAATGCCAACAGTCCCCAACCTGTCGTTATGGACAAAACTGCACATGACAATACTCACCGAAGACCCATGGAGAGTGAAAGAAGTGCCTGGCTTTCTCCTGAAGTGACTGCGTACTCCTCAAAGATTTGTGAATGTTCGATAATTTCAGGCCGAAAAAGATTCCTTGACGACCCAGACGCAAGGAGGCCGCCATGTTGATGTCCTCATTCGGAGAGACGTGAAGGTGCCTGATCAAAATGTTTACATTTTCAGAGAATCGAATATTGTCTTTTCTTGTCTGATCATAGAGTTAAAAATAAAGAAATAGTAGTAAAAGGCGCAAGTGTTTTATTGTTGTAGTATGTGATTGAGTTTCACATTAATTACTTTTTAGACAATTAGACAGGCGGAGAGCTCACAGTCGGTCATTTCAGGACCCTGGCCAAAGACGTACTGTATACGCATTTATCGCCTCAATTTGTCTTTAACCGAGAGTCAAGCGCGCCTTCCATATTGCATGTGGCAAGTCAGGACCCTGGCCAAAGACGTACTGTATACGCATTATCGCCTCAATTTGTCTTTAACCGAGAGTCAGCGCGCCTTCCATATTGGATGTGGCAAATCTGCCCGGAAACTAATGCAATTAATTGAACTGAACGCGTTAAAGCGAAAATGCACAGGTATAACTTAATGCCCCCCACCACTATCACTACCGCGTTCACGGCCCCCATAGGCAAATTCATATTGTACACCAAATATCATGAGAAACAGCACCAAAAATCTATGGCTTTTAATCTGCTGATAATACAGTATAGTCAGTTTACCATATTTTGATTACAAAAAAAGATAGCACATAGACCAGATTATCAAGATTATGAAATGATACTTAAACATTAGCACTGCAATTGCGAATTTCTCCATTGTGAGACAAATAAAGGTTTTTCTTTGTCTTCAATATATTTAAAGTAGGTGTGCATGATACTGGTAAAACATGCAATATACGATTATGGGTGTTGCATATTGTACCGTGGTTATTATTGCCATATTCTAAAAATATGTACTGAAATAAATGACATCTCTATTATCCAATTAATTAAATAAATATTTTATTTTTTTAATTTGGGAAAATATGTATTCTTGTAGGGGCGGCACGATGGTTAACTGTTTAGCATGCCGGCCTCAAAGTGCAGAGGTGCAGTGTTCGATTCCGACTCTGGCCTTCCTGTGTGGAGTTTGCATGTTCTCCACGTGGCTGCGTGTGTTTTCTCCAGGTACTCCAGTTTCCTCCATTCCAAAAACATGCGTTGCAGGACAATGGAACACTGCAATCTGTCCCTAGGTGTGAGTGTGAGCGCGAATGGTTTTTTTGTCTATGTGTGCCCTGTGAATGCCTGGCAACCAATTCAGGGTGTATCCCGCCTGATGCTAAATATCCTTCGAAGTCTTGCTTGTATCCTTCTTGCTTCAATTAGTCAGTAGTTAACTATGCTTTTGGTATCATCTTTGTTTCATAATGCTGCGCAGAGCTCACAAAGTAGTTGTCTGTTTGAGTGTGTGTTGGAGAACGCACATGTCAATTGGTGTCGGGCAGAACCCTTTTACGTTACGTGCTAATAATCACCACTAGACGGCATCGGAACACTAACCCAGAAACAACTACCTGGGGACTATAAAGAGACCGTAACACTATATATAAGGTGCATCGGATTATAAAGAGCCCTGTCGGCTTTTCAGAAAGTTGAATGCTTTTAGGTGCGCCTGACAGTGCAGAAAATACGGTACACTAATCATGACCAATTAGCATGTCACCATTTGTGTGTTATTATCCTAACCTACAATCTGGCTTTGCCAGTTTAGTGCTTCGCGGTGGAGCTCAGTCAGAGATTTGGCAACAAGAGCAGAAGAGCTCAAATGACTGCAGCCATTACCCAAAACTCTTTTGTGGTTTGATGCACTGTCCATACTTGAAATACAGGTTTGGCGGTCTTCCTACTGGTTATTTCTGCCTGACGCAGCTCTGCCAGTCAGTGTAGAAAAACAAAACAAGAGTGCATAAAGTGATGCATGAAACGAGAAATGGATGCATGTTTTTGATTCTTTTACTGTATCAATTATGTAATTAAGTGTCATTCCAGCCAGTCAGGAAACAGGCATGTTGACTGTCATTCCGTAATTTAAAATATATATATATATTCGAGATACATCTATTCCATTTTTACAACAAAATGTTTCGCAGTCCCGTAAATAGCTGGCGACCAGTCCAGGGTGTACCCTGCCATTCATCCCAAGTCAGTTGGGGTAAGGTTCAGTACAAACTGAACTATTAGTCTATCAATTAGTTGAGTTTATATAAATTAGTTATTTTTAGTGAGGCACTCCTCTGTTAGCCACGACCCTCATGAAGATATGCAAAAGGCTTATTGAAAATGGATAGATGGACTCCTGTGGGTATCCACACCATTTTAATGACCACAGATGACAATGAGGACCAAGTGGCAAACATGACAGGTGCAACACCGCTGTGGGATAGATTTGAAACAGTCAGTTAATAAAATGAGATACCAATCAAAAGCCCACTATACAAATGATGGGTTATGTAAGACAGAGATAAATCTGAGTCGAGATTGGACACCGCATTTGCATATGAGAATAGTAGCACAAGTAGCATCTGTTCATTTTACTATTATCTTGCTGGCTGCCACTGTGTGCAGCACCGTGGTGGAGATGGCCTGCAATCCGGCAATCACAATGGAACCATGGACCTCTAGGTGAGCTCAAAAAGGTTCAGTCATTCAGTTACAGTGAGTGTCATGGGTGTAGATTCATCCACAATATTTCAAGTTATATTGTAAGACGCTGCTTTCACAAAGATACAAAGGAATGACTAGCTTTATTTGCATCAAACATTAACAAAATAATCATAATGATACATGCATACACCCACACAGCAAGAAATGCAGCATGCCAAAAAAAGAAAGAAAGAAAAAAAGTTAAATTAGAGTATGTTTATATTTGGCTCCATTTTTTACCTTTTTGTTTGTTTGTTTTATACAGTCGTCCTTCATCCTTTGCACAAGTGGCCACATTCGCAATATTACTCATCTGACATGTATGAACATATCTTCATTTGGGTCTATCTGGTCCACAATCATGCAACACAATGTGTTATTTGCAAAATATTAACATTTTCTCATGTGTTCAGCAAAAGTACAAAGTCAGAATTTTGGCTTGATCTCATCAAGACCCAGCAAATTTATCAAAATCTTGCAGCATTCAAGTCTATAAAAAACATAAATTATTTCTCAGACTCCTTCCATCCTCTGGCGTTCCTACCAAATTTGTACACCAGTCTACGCCCGTCTACTCGTTCCAAGATTTCCCTTTTGTAGTAATATCTGTGACAAAAAAAAGATGTACAAATTAGTGATTCAGCAAGCGGATTTGAGAATTAACCCTTCCATGCACCATGTAACTTGATAACATGATAAGGGCAGCGCAGTAACCTCAGTGAGAGGAAATAATAGCATACATCAGTCCCTCCGTATTAACTTGGGCGAGGCGTGGCAGAGTCGGGCTGTATTTTCAAATTGGTAAAATCCTAAATTTATATTCTTGGTGTGAGGAATACAATTAAGATGGAAGTCAAAAATGACCCCTATGGGTTTTTTCAGATTGTGAGAGTTTAGTTTTGCTCACGGTTTCTCTGTCTTGCTTCCAGGACAATTAAAACCTGGGTCAATTAATGTCATTTAAAATATTTCAATGAGTTGTCTCTCTTCTGTGGTTCGTCCAAAACCCAGATTGATACTTCTCGAAAATATTGTCGTTGTTTTTTTTTTTTTTTAAAGAATTACTTAAATACTCAAACATATTCGTCGCTTGTTTATATTCTGATCAGGTTGGGCCTCTTATTTGTATTTTATTTTTTGCAAATAAATAACATGGGCGGCTTTGTGGTCAACAGATTAGCACGCCCACCTCACAGTGCAGAGGTGTAGGGTTTGATTCCGGGCATTGCCCTTCCTGTGTGGAGTTTGCATGTTCTCTCAGTGCGTCTGTGGGTTTTCTACGGGTTTCTTCCCGCATTTCAAAAACATGCATGGTAGGTTGATTCAACACTCTAAATTGGCTGTTGTGGTGTACCCACCATTGTTGTTAATTTTCTTTCAATGAATTGTCTGAGATGAGGAAATCATCAATTCATCCTTCTACTTAAAAAAATATTAGGTTAATTTGGAGCAAGGAAAACTAAAAGATATGTATCTGTAGGAGAAAATATGGACCATCCTGCATGGATACGGAGACTGTTTAACTACACGTTGCAAAATTTTTTAGTAAACTGTTTTTGTGAGATGGGTTGTTCATGAACAGAGGCTCCATTCTGTTATGGATCGGAGGGAATTTTTAAATGATGAAGTCAATAATTTTTGTTTTGTTTTGTTAGCTTTGTTCATAAAAGCATGCGACAGGTGTGATGTGGCAAACACAAAATGTACGGGAGAACTACAGGCAGTTTTTACCTCTTTGTGATTTAACACATTAAGGCCACTAGTTCAGATCATTTGAATATAAATCTATAACTGTATTGCTAAAATCAACCCAATTACCAGGGAAAATCAAATTACTCCTCAACTAAAGAAATCAATTATTGATGATGAAATAGGAAGACATTTTTGGAGTTCTCTTCTGATTTAAGGAAAGTAATGTTGAGCAGTGTTAGATGTGTTTTGCGTGTTTGTAATTAGTCAGGCACAGCAATTGATTTTACTGTCGATAAAATAATTTAGTCAGCTAAGTATTGACAACTTACTAAAACCTATACACTATAAGTTATTCTTGGCCAGTGCGTGTAGGCTGTGTGGTTGTACCTCATTGCCCGACTCAACTTCTCATAGGTCATGCTGCTGTTGTTTTTCTTCTTGCCCCACAACTGTGCCACTTCCTCTGATTTAAGAAAGCGAAATACCCCTTCTGTCCGATCCTCCCATTTGATCAGCCCTGGATTGCGTTCGGGATGCAGTAAAATGTCTCTGATAAATTCCCACAAATGGGACCCTCTTGGATCTGTTTTGGAAAAATCAAGATTGAATAGTACGGGTGAACTTGCATGAATTAAGTTTGAAAAAGGTCAAAATAAACAACAAAATCAAATAACTAAACAGACAAAGGTATTGGGACATTGGGCTATCAAACCAAAGAAAATGAACTGAAATGGAAGAAGACTTAAAATTGCTGTAAAATTGTAATTTATGGGAGTCTGTCTGTGCGACCATTGTCCATTGATCCAGAAGAGAATTTATGGGGTCAAAGGTCAGTAATGTTTGTCCAGTGCCCTATCTCCACTTCTAAAGGCGGCCTCGTTTTTCTTATATAATACAATACAATACATCCTGATTTATATAGCGCTTTCACAGCAGCTGCAGATGTAACAAAGTGCTGAACAAAACAGTTAACATAAAGTAAAAGAATAAACACACGCATAACATAAAACACGGACATTCGTGTAATCCTAACCACTTTTTCCTCATACGCTTTGTTGTTTAAAGCAGTTTGAGATGAAAGGGGAGAGATTCAAAGTGTCCTTTCACCAGTGGATCAGAGACGTCATGCTCAAAATGTGTACACGTCGGCTGCAAGCTAAGTTTCAAAGTCAACAAGAAGCTGTAGCATCCACTGACGAAAAAAAAGAGATTGGTTCACTTCTCCTGTCCCATGTAAATCAATTTCAATTCCAAGCGGCGAGTCTCAGTTCCAAATACGCATCCGCGCTCCGCGCCGACACTCCTCTCTCCTCATCCTCAACTTCAGCAGCCATCCATCCAGCCGCACCAACACAGACTGTCCAACAGCGCCGACATCTCCACTGAACAAAATGGGGCTGTGAAAAATGCTGCCCATTACAGGCGCAAAAACCACAAGTGCCCCGGGGCTGTCCAGCACCAACAGTCAAATGGCGCCAACATTCCTTCCAATCAAAATCAGTGCTGGTACACACGTGCTGCCGAGAAGGTGCAACCACCAAACAGAGATTATTCTCCTTTGACGAATGTCGTGGCCAAAAAACGCTGAAAACAGTCCACATCAGATCAACACGACAAAACAACAAACACCATGTGACAAAACGTTTTCCAGTTCATCCACACCACACTTCAACAACCATGCAGTTATTCACTATCAACAACAACAACAACAAAACCATGAACAAACTGTTACCACAAGCCTATGTACTGAAAACGCTTTGGTAAGATACAGAATTAACAATGAGGGTTAATTAAAGAGTCAAAGGGTATCCAACGCATAGCATTTGACATCAGAGTTAAAGTGGCTCTCAAAGGGCTGCTTATAAATCTGAAACCATCCATCCAATTTCTTCCGCTTATCCTCGGCCGGGTTGTGTCAGCCTAAGCAAGGAAGCCAAGACCTCCTACTCCCCCCACCTCACCAGGGAGACGTTCAGGAGCATATTAACCAGTTGCTGCAGCCACCTTATCTGGCTCTATGGGGTTCTCACTCAATCTCTCAGGGAGAACCTGGACACCCTGTAGAGGAAACTCATTTTGGACACTAGCATCCGTGATATTGTTGTTTTGGTCACGACCCACAGCTGGTGACTTTTAATGAGGGTTGGAATAGTAGATCATCCGGTGTGTTGAGGGCTTCTCCTTTCATCTTAGCACCCTCTTCACCACAACAGACAGCTATAGAGTCTCAGTCACTGCTGAGAATGAAACAATCTCCTTTGTCTTTATCACCTTCTTTCTTCTACCCCAAACCCTAAAATAATTGAGCTCAACTATTTGGGGCATAATCTCATTCCCAACCTGGATAAACTGTCAAACCCTGGAAATAAACATACATGCGTTCCTGTACGTCGTTACACAAAGAGCCCTGCATTCATTTATCAACCTTTACCAGTAAATGTTTTTGAAATCAGATCAGAAGCGAAGGGAAAACAGTGGCAGATATTTGAGGACAATGGTAGCCTACTTATAGACATAAAAATACTCCACATGGTTTGCAATTTGGACAATGGCTAAAATGGTGGTGCATATTATTGAGTCTATACCAGGGGTGTCAAACATACAGCCCGCGGGCCGGAACCGGCTCCCGGGGAGGTTCGATCAGGCCCGCAGGATAATTTAAAAGTGACCAAATGCATAAAAGACACGGAATGAATATTTTTAATAAAATGCTATTCATGGATTATCCACTGTTTTCTCTTTAGTTTGTAAAGTGTAAACAGGGATTAAATTTAGATTTTATATGCACATGTGTAAATGGTTTAAAAATTCCTTTCTTCATAAATCTCGTTTAATTTTAAAATGCATTACTATATTTTTCAATACTTAATTATTAAAATTTTGTGCCTTTGTACAATCAATGGGATCAGTTGCAATGCATATATGTGAATGATAAAAGTAAATTGTACATTTGTCCAAGGAAATCTAAGGTGCTTCATGAAATCTTTTGTAAATGATGTACAGTATGTTCATTCAATGTCAACATTTTCCTAATATTCTTGTGCTTCACGAAACCAAAACAAAGGAAAGACATGATATTTTGGTTATTTATAGCAGAGTATGGCATAATTTTAGTGGTCCAGCCCACTTGACATCTACCGAGGCCATATGCGGCCCACAGTGTGAAATGAGTTTGACACCCCTGGTCTATACTAATAAAAGTCTAGACAATAGACATTCAAGACAACATAGGTGTGTTAAGGACTGGTGGGCCATATAAAATAGTGTGTCAGGCTGGTCTTGGCCCATGTGCCTTAAGTTTGACATAACGTATGTGATGTAAGGGGTCCAATCAAAGATGAATTAACTGTTTAACAATTGTCCCAATTCATTTGTCTGTACATGAATGTGAGTTTATATTGTTCTTACTGTGTTTTTTGACCTGATGTTGGCGATGGTAGGACATTTTCATTTCTGAGAAAGAGAGATTAGGTGAATTTTTCTTTCATGCACTTTTATTATAGGTGTGAATATACATGTATTGCAAAAATCCTTTATCATCACAGTATTTTCAGAAATATTTAAAAATCTTAACCATGACTGCAGGAAGCGGGAGGTGAGACAGCCGGGACATGAGCTTGAATCGATGAGTCATAGCCATCTAGGTCAACATAGGATAAGGTAATTGATTGAAATATGCTTTGGTAAATATCTGAATTAAAAAGAATGTGTTTTGAATTAAATCAAATCAAAAAATCAAATTCATGCATTTACTATACCTGTTTGAGGATAGCTGACCTCTGAAAAGTTACAGGAAATTTCTACTGCAAAGAAACAATGATAGGACAATTAAAATTTTACTTTACATTACGTAATTAATGAATTCCAACTTGGCAAAATTTAATTTCTTACATTCTGGCTTTAGTTCCAGGTGACTGATTTCCATATGATATTCTGCATACGAATGAGAGGGTCACAAGAAAATTTGTGCAAAGGCTTTAATTAGTGTGAAACTAATTAATCACCCCTTGTACATTGTTAAGTATGTCAGAAAACGTATTTGATATTTTACACATTGATCCCAGCTATTTGTATGCATATGACACTGATCGTACAAATATGAAAACATGAAATGACGAAGCAAAATTGGAATTCATCCACCATCTACTACAGCAATTTTTTTTTCTCAATAGCAATATGAGACATCTATTTAGCCTTAATACTGTTGCAGTATACTATGGTTGGTTAAATGAATATTCTGTACTTTATTATAAAAAATGACATACGGTAGTCCAAAATGAAACTAAGCTGCTTCCTCACTGCCAAAAGAGAAAAATCAGACCATAATGTCCCAGCATGGCCTTCAAACCTGTTGTATGACTTTTTACATCATGGCATGCATTTCGGAATGCCTCTCATAACAGGTGTAATCAGGGCCGGCCTGCTCATTAGAGTAGCTAGGCAGATGCGAAGGGCTTTGGTGACTGTGGAGGGCGGTGATGGTGGTGGTCAGGTGAAAATTCACCTTCACTAATATTATATTCAAATACATTATTCCTAATAACTCTTCATTTCAATTAAAAAAGAAAGAAGAGTCAATGGCAATTAATATAAACAATGAAAAGAGGGTAGAGGAGCAAGGTTAATTACAGTACTTTGAAATCAGCATTCCTGTCCAGCAATAGCGGCATCTAACGCACTGTGCGTGCGTCACCTCCTTATTGAATGCCTCTGTTAGCTGTTGAATATTTCTGAATTTATCATGGTGATTACAGATTAAATGAATGGTATCTGAAACTAAAGTGATTCCGTGGAGTTAAGAAAATATATGGCTGGATTGAGCAACTTTTGAAATAATCAAACGTTTCGGACAACTATTTAATATAAAAGGTCAATAAGAACATTTAATTTAACATTCATTATTTACTGTTAAACTACAAAAGGTAAAATAACAGTGATACCTTTATTTGGGTTGAAAAGTGAAACATGAACAAATCTAAGGCTGTTATGAATTAAAATATTGTTATTACTTACGCTTGTTTAAAATAACATTTTCTCATGTTACTTTTTGGTGTTTTTTCTCAAAATCTCAAATTTAATTCAAATCCCAATGCACTTAGTGCACCTCATTGCCAGGGATGAATGTAAGGAATGACATTTCTTGATTAAATGTCAAACTACTGAACTTTAAAGTCAAAGGAGAAAAAAAATGCTGGATCATTTGAATAAAATCAAGATATACTCGTCAGTGGATGAATGAATCTCAGGTGGGGAAGTTGAGCATATTTACAATGACTTGACAACCAACCCTCAACACGGAACAACTAACATCGATTAAAATGAATGTAATGCCCAATTGAAATTCCTACAAATGATCAGACTGCTCGCTCTCTGTGGGAGGAGAGGCAAATTTATTGACTGACCACTTTGTAAAAGAATCAAAATGACCAAAACCATCCAGATCAAAAGGAAGTAAAAAATAGAGGAGGCAAGAAGCAAATGAGGAATGTAAATGGGAGAAAGAGAGGGCAAGTATTGTATTTGTATTTTAAATATATTGTATTTTATATTTGAAATGATGTGGCATTATTTTATAAATTAAAGGCAGTGTTAAAAAAACAAAAAGACTTCTTTTGTAAGCGGATGTAGTAAATCGTTGATGGAAGGTGGTGATATACAAAATCTCGCCCTGGGCGTCACATAGGCTCGGGCCGCCCCTACCTGTAATTTATCATCACGTAAATCATTTTCATATTGTCATATGCTTATACAGTATGCTACTAAAGCTTAAATGAAAAGCCTGTGGGGATTTATTACACTATTACTCAATGTAAAATTAGCTAGATTTTTAATCAAACCCACACGCACCGGCCCACTTGAGCTGTGTTATGCTGTGGAAGAGAATGGGCCCAAGGTCTCCTGCCGCATGGACAAAGTCCTGGTAGGTCAGGTTACAGAGCTGGTGACCATCCATATCAAAGTTTTGGAAGGGGAAGTTGGAGACATCAATCTGGTGTATGTCCATGACCTGCTGCAACCACTCCCACACTTGATATTTACTCCAGAATTGTGGCTGGGAATCATGAGGCCACAGGCGACTACTTGCGTAGCCAGACATCACTATTGGAACTGGGAATAGGCACACAATATGAATGTATGATTATTTCTTTCTGATTCCTTCATAACAACATCACATCCCATGCTCAGGATGGTGTGGGTCATATGCCTCACCGTCAGGATAGAAGTTGGTCGAAGCCCAGTGGTTACTGGTGAGCTGACTGTCTGGAGTGGCGTTTGAAGTTAGGCTCATAGTGCTGCAACACGTTCAAAATAGCCAGAATGCAGCAGGAGAAGAGACATTCGAAACTGAAGAAGTCAAGTCAATCAATATACTGTAGCAAAGCATGTGCTTTAACTATTTTTGTACAGGAGACAAGAAGAAAATATGAGAAGTGTTATTGCTGGTCGAGCAATGAGCGTCAAACTGTTTGCCTTATTACAGCACAGTATCCCATTTGGCTGTTTACTACATGGTGTTATTTCAACTTTCAGAATTAAAAACAAAAGCAAATGAGGCTGTGAAACTATTACTCTAAAAGTAAGAAAGGAACATAACGCTCTCAGAAGTATTTGAACACCCACTGCAAATTACATTTACATGCAAAATATTGCGGGTTTGCAGCAGTTTTAAATGAAAATTAAGAACAGTTTAAATCGTTCAACACAACTACTGGTTTGTATTCAGTGAATATTAGTTTTTAAAGTGATGATTTATGTTTTTTTTTCTTTCTTGCAATTAATGCAGCAGTAGCAGTCCTATATTTATACTGCTTTTTCACTAAAGTACAGGTTAAATGATAAGATAAGATAAGAAAACCTTAATTAGTCTCGCAATGGAGAAATTCAAAATTCACAGCAGCAAAGTTATGAAAGGAAGAAGTAGAAGAACAAAATATAGGAGAAATAATGAAATGTTTCATTCTCAACCTCAATTTGCTTCAAATTTAATTACTGGGCGCAGGTTACACATGCAAAATGTGCAAGTCTTCACTGACAATGTTAACTAGACAGTTATTAATTTAAATGCAACAAGCTGGGAGAAAATAACATTTCTGTTATTTTTAATAAATGCCATTCTTGCATATATTTCAGTTTTCCAAAAGTTAACCAACAATATAATGTTAGATATGGATGCAGCTTTACCAAGATAGAATTCAATTACGGAATCTAATGGGAACTAAAATGCGTTTGATTCTTTTGTCTTCCCTTCTCCCTTCAAGATCTGCGTCACGCCTTCAAGAAAATAAACAGACAGATCTGGCAAATCTGGTTCCTGCACAGATCGCACTGATTGTAGTTTTACCAAAAGGCAACCCTTCAAGCCAAACAAACAAGAGCGTGAGTGGACACCGAAACCACAGCTGTTTGCAAAATCCACCCGCCAATGGGACATTTAGCATCCTGTATGTACTGTATGAGTAGACATCGGCCTCGCATTTATATTGACAAACACGTGTGTCAGAATCCGCAATCAAGGATAATGTTACTTTGTTTGGTTTCTAAATTTAGTTCCAGACACTTTATTGATCTAATTGCTGGATGTGACACTAATCGGGATATTGCATTCGTAAATACAGTGTACTAATGTCTTGTCTGTAGCTACAATTTCAATGTCAATACAGAGAGCTATACTGAACAATACTACACTCTCTCTCTCTCTCTCTCTCTCTCTCTCTCTCTGT